TGAGGAAAGTTACCTTTTAGGAGGTGAGAATGGTCATAGAAGAAAACTACTGTGAAAGAGGGGCACAAAGATCATTCAGTTGGATCTGTAATGTGTTATTTCTTTAAAAAATAATCAAAGGGGGCACCTGGGTGGCTCAGTTGGTTAAGCCTCTGACTTTGATTCAGGCCATGATCTTGCAGTTCTTGAGTTCGAGCCAAGCCCTGCATCAGGTTCTGTGCTGACAGCTCAGAGGCTGGAGCCTGCTTCGGATTCTGTGTCTCCCTCCCTCTCTGCCCCTCCCCTGCTCACGCTCTGTCTCTCTCTCTCAAGAATAAACATTTAAAAAAATTAAAAAGAAATAAAATAATCAAAGCAAGTATATCAAAACATTTTCATGATTTTTTCAATTCTTTTCAATATTTCAAAAATATTGTTTATTTTTTATATATTTGAAACAGCTCACAAAAGAAACTAATAACTTTAACTTTATGTATCTAATTCATCTGCAAATATAACATTGTAATGACTGCTTAATAGTCTAGCTTCAGGAGCTAACATGTCTTAAAGTAATCCTTTAGTTTTTGTTATCTAGGAGATTTATGATTCTTCCTATGCTTAAAGAAGGCTTTTATGAACATCTCTGTATAACACTGTTGATTTCCATAAGATTCATTCTCAGAGGTCTAATTGGTGAGTGAAAGTGTATTCACTGCTTAAGATTTCTAATTCTCATTTTGAAAATGTCCTTCGGAAGGGAATACCAATTTATACAACTGCTAGCAGTGTATGACTCTTTTATCAACACTGACCAATATAGTTGTTTCATTTTTTCCCAATCTGAGAGTTGTAATTGCTGTTTGAATTCACATTCTTTTTTTTTTTTTTTAAGTTTGTTTACTTGAGAGAGAGAGACAGAACATTCGGGTCAAGGGAGGGACAGAGAGAATGGGACAGAGCAGGGGGGAGAGAGAACCCCAAGCAGGCTCTATGCTGCCAGCCAGCACTAAGCCCAACATGGGGCTAGAACCCAGGAACTGTGGGATCCTGACCTGACCCGAAGTCAAGAGCCATTTAACTGACTAAGCCACCCAGGCACCCCTGTATTTGCATTCTTTTTATCATGGTGATGATGTACTCCTTTGCTCGGCCACCAGAACAGAACTCTACAGACTGGGTGGCAGAAGCAACAGAAATGTACATTCTCACAATTATGAAGGCAGGAGGTCTGAGGACCAAGGTGCCAACAGAATTGCTTTCTTCAGAGGCTTCTCTCCTTGCCTTGTAGATGGCTGTGTTCTCCTGTGTCTTCACGTGGTCTTCCTGAGAAGGAAAGCCGGCAAGAGGAGATTTAAAAAAAAAGGGGGCCAGCCAGATGTCCGAGCCTGATACTCCCCTTGCATGCTTTTGGCTTCTGGAATCTTGCTTGCCTCTTGCATCAGCCAACTGCCCTGGGTAGCGCAACCAATAGTGCCCCCTGCTCCCTGGGCAGCCAGTAGAATGTTTCGAAGTGCCAGCAAGCTAGCCCGGCATACAAGAAGGGCCGCACGAGGGCTCGCGGCTCAGCCTTTGGGGGTGACCTTGCTGGCTGACAATGGTCGGCAAAGCTGCACTCGAACGGACTCCAGGGAGAACAGAAAAGGCCTGTCCCAGAACGTCGGATCGGTAAGGGTCCCCGGGGATTTCAGACCGAGGCAGAAGTGGAGCTTGATCACCTCCTGGGCGACATAATCGTCGCATTGGACAGGGAAGTCCTGGGTGGTAGTGTGCAATCTGTCTGAATGTGTGTGTGAGTGCCCGTGCTCCACGGTCTCGGCTACGGAGCCTCAGTGGGTCCTACCCTGTGATTGCATGACGACCTCATGCAGCTCAAGGCGGAATCAGATCCACGCAAGCCTGATACCAGTTGGCGGTTTATACTGATCTGGCAATGCTAAGAGGCGTCTAATCCTCATGATGGGAGTGGCCAAGTAGATGAGATGACCCCTGCCATCGTGTTTGTCCTGCCACAACGAAAATTGGGAGGGACCCATCTAGGATACCAGGATGGGGGGAAATTCTGCAAAACCAACTGTTTTGGTGTGTATGATTAAGAACTTTAGGGGAGCCTGGGTGGCTCAGTCAGTTAAGCATTTGACTTTGGCTCAGGTCAATGATCTCACGGTTCTTGAGTTCGGGTCCCCCACATCGGGCTCTGTGCTGACAGCTCAGAGCCTGAAGCCTGCTTTGGATTCTGTGTCTCCCTCTGTCTCTGCCCCTTCCCCGCTCCCACTCTGTGTCTCTCTCTGTCTCAAAAAAAAAAAAAGAAAAAAAGAAAAGATAAACATTTAAAATATTTTAAAAATGAATTTTAAAAAGGGAGTTTCAGGTGACTATGGGGTCAAATTACTCCCAGGAAATTACACACACTCTGAATTAGAATGACCTATGTTCGGTGTAGGCTGGCCCCCTGTGGGCACCCTAGATGTCCCCACAGTCCGAGCTGTCTGTAAAGCAGATACTGGAGACCCCGACCACCCAGATCAATTCCCGTACATGGATCAGTGACTGGAAATAGCCCAAGTCAAGCCTCCTTGGGTTGGGTTCTGTGTTAATAGTAAGGGACAATGTAGGGTCTTAGTGGCACAGATGAAGAAGACCTCACAGAAGAATAAAAGCACCCTCCGTCCTCCAAGAAAATTCAGAACTCCTTCCATTTCTGCCATTATCCCCCCCCCCCCCCCCGCACCCCATCAATGGAGGGAGGGGACCTGACTGGTCTGGCACGAGTGGACTCTGAATAGGAAAGACGGGGCTCTATCCAACTAGACCCCCACGAGCCCATGGTCAAAATGAAGGAAGGGGGCCAGACAATAGACTTCATGGTCTACATTGGGATCATTTACAGGAAAACGAAAGGCATTTAAGTTTTGCTTTGCTGATATGGCAGTCTGGGTGGGACTAGCCCCTTCATCTTGGGCCTAGTAAGTTACTTCGACAATGTATTTTTCCCAGTTTGTCACTGGTTATTTAACTTACATGTGATACAGGATTTTGTTTCCATGCAGAAGTTTTATGTAGTCAAATGAAACAATATTTCCTTTGTAGTTTTCTGCATTGAGGGTCCCAAAAAGCTTTATAAATGTCTATAAACCTAATACACCCAAAGAAACTTTTACTTATGATTTATGGCTACATATTGCCTATAATTTATATTACTTTTACAGTATATTTTTTACATGTAAGCACTGTTTATTTTTACATTTTTAAAAATGTTTATTTATTTTTAAGAGAGAATGTGAGCAGGGGAGGGGCAAGGAGGGGGACAGTGAGCCCGATGTGGAGCTTGAACCCACGAACCTGTGAGATCATGACCTGAGCAGAAGTCCGACACTCAGCGGACTGAGCCACCCAGGTGCCTCCTTTTTACATTTAAATATTTTTTTCCAGATAGAATTCATTTTGTGTGTGCTATGAAGTATGGAGTTAATTTCATTTTTTCCTAAATAGCTGGTTGCTTAAACTTGATAGCCCATATTTTGGATAAATGTTTTTGGTAATGTTTTCAATGTGAATTTTTGTGGTTGTTCAAAGAAAGTTTTTTTACTGAAAGCTCTAGAAAAGTACATTTGATTATTGATTTGTCAAAATTTGTCAACCTATAGGTTGACGGATTTCATTTTTGCTGTTTTCTGAGCAGGGTTAACGAATCATGGTTGCCTTCACACTAGTATGTAACTTTTGGACTTTTGGCTTTGAATAGTGTACTAAAAAAAAAAAAGATTTAGCTACCTATCACCCAGTTCTCTATTACTCAGAGCACTCTGCCGCATACACATACTTTATTTTATAGGTTCTGTTTATCCTTGGAAAGAAGAAAAGACATTTTAAGTATCGAACTGCTGGAGACTTTTCATAACACTCAGCCAGGCTGGTTTTTGTCTATCAGTGAGGATGGCTATTCATTTCAGAAGATTGGGAAAGCACCCTCTTTAGTTCTTTCCCCCACCTCTGATGACTCCTTAGAAAACATCACAATTTAGAAAATATATCAGTGGTCAACTGCTACTACCTTTGATTCAAACGCGAACCACACTTGGGAATCTCTACCACCTTGTGCTGAATGCAAGGTGGAAAGGAAAATGTCAACATACAGTTCCTTTTTTAAAATATTTATTTATTTTTGAGAGAGAGACAGAGCACCAGCAGGGTCGCAGAAGGAGAGGGAGACACAGAATCTGAAGCAACTCTAGGCTCTGAGCTGTCAGCACAGAGCCCATGCAGGGCTTGAACTCACAAACCTCGAGATCATGACCTCAGACTTACTTAACCGACTGAGCCACCCAGGCTCCCCTCAACATGCAGTTCTCATAAGGTACATTCCACTGTGAACCGGCTTGGTCAGGTTTGAGGGAAAAAAAAAAGCTTTTGATTAAATTGTTTCAGAAGCAAAGAAACATAAAGATTCTACCTCAAAAAAATGCCTTGCCATTCCACATTGGAAAGTTTAATCATAGCATCTCATTGACTCATTTCTATGGATTTTATGCATCTATGTTATAGCTTATGTTATTAGAAAAGTTTTGGAATACCCATCTCCTGGAGGCACGAAAAAAATCAGTAACATTAAAAAAATTTTTTTTTTAATGTTTTATTTATTTCTAGGAGAGAGAGAGAGACAGCATGAGCAGGGGAGGGTCAGAGAGAGAGGGAGACACAGACTCTGAAACAGGCTCCAGGCTCTGAGCTGGCAGTCAGCACAGAGCCCGACGCGGGGCTCGAACCCACGAACCGCGAGATCATGACCTAAGCGAAAGTCGGACGCTTAACCGACTAAGCCACCCAGGCACCCCCATACAAGAAATATTTTTAAAAAATTTTTAAAGATTTATTTATTTTTGAGAGAGAGAGAAAAAGAAAGAGAACAGGGGAGGGGCGGACAGAGAGGGAGATCGAGGACCTTAAGAAAGCTCTGAGCTTTTGGGAGCTCAAACTCTCGAACCGTGAGATCGTGACCTGAGCCAAAGTCAGACGATTAGCTGACTAAACCACCTAGGAGCCCCATTCAACAAATATTTAAGTAACAATTCTGTGCCAGGCATCAACCAACAATTATGTAAGTAAGATTGTTACAGCAGATACTCGGCTCCCAGGAAGAGACAAGCGATACACACTCGGGGAATCGGAAAAAAAACGTGTATTTCGCATCGATGCTGGCACAGAGGGGTCACCTCCAAAGATTGAGCCCCGAGGCCTAGTGCCGGCCTTCTTGTATGCCTGGCGAGCTTCTGGGTAGTTGGAAACATTATTAGGTGCATGAGGGGGCGCTATCAGTTGTGCTACCAGAGCAGTTGGCTGATGCGAGAGGCAAGCAAGATTCCAGAAGCCAAAAGCATGCAAGGGGGAGTGAGTATCTGGCCCCAGACATCTGGCTGGCTCTTTTTTTTTTTTTAAGTCTGCTCTTGCTGGCTTTCCTTCTCAAGATGGTGAAGATCATAACAAGCTAGAAGGGATTATGAATAGAGGATGGAAAGAGAGATTGTTGAAGTTACACAGATTATGCGGAAGCCCACAAAACAATCGCAAATGTGAGTAATGTGTCAGAATTTTCATAATCTTGCCGCAATGCAGTGAGCTGCTGGGGAAATACACTGTGATGAACACTGAGGTGGATGAAAAAGGTTGAGCATGCATTTTGTTGTCTTCTACAGCGACGGTCTTCTTCATCCACGTGCTACTTTTGCTGTCTCTGTGAACCATAATGCCTGCCTTTTATTTTACTTGGAGTCACGAAGGCAAATAATTTTATGAACTTCATAGTGATTGAAGATAAACAGAGGCCCATCAAGCATTTTAAGGGTTTACTGGAGCAAAATTCAATTCGAATCAGAGAGCAACCAACCTTTGAGATGGAAAGCTTTGAGGGGCTGGACGACATGAAAGACTTTTATAGGCATAAGGGAGCAGGAATAAGGAAGTCATGCTGGACCAAAAAAGTAGGTTGGTTATTACGAGGTCAATTTCCTTTGGGGGATGGCAGGGATCTATCAGGCAGATGACCTAACCAGTGCTGATCAGGTGATTCCTAATTGACTGGTGGAAGATTCCATTCATTCGCAAGCCAAAACTGTAATTAAATTAAGTCTTGGTTTTGCGAAATGGAGCTTAGCACAAGTGGCTTCATTTAGGGCCTATTGTCTTGCTTCTTAACAATAACTAATGCTACATGATTTCAACGAAATCATTTAATAATTGAGGTCGTGTCAGAGGCCGCGCCGGCTCCGACAGGTCCAGGGGTCCCTGAAGGATGGACGGTGTCGGCGAAAGAGAATGAGAGAGCCCCGAGATTCTTTCTGATCACCAGGCAGGCATCTCTGTCCTGTCGGTTTTGGTATCTTTATTTTAAGGTTCAGCAACAAGATGAAGTCATAGAAAGGAATTTCTTACAATGGAAGGCCTTTTGTGATATCAATTAACAGAATGTTCATAGTGAAAAACAGCATAACATACAAGTTAAATTGTATACAGATAAGCTAGGAGTTATTCTGTCTGGCCCGCAAGAAGATAAATGTTTCTGGGGGCGCCTGGGTGGCTTAGTCGGTTAAGCGTCCGACTTTCGCTTGGGTCATGATCTCGCCGTTCGTGGGTTCAAGCCCCGCGTCGGGCTCTGTGCTGACTGCCAGCTCAGAGCCTGGAGCCTGTTTCAGTCTGTGACTCCCTCTCTCTCTGACCCTCCCCTGCTCACGCTGTCTCTCTCTCTCTCCTAGAAATAAATAAAACATTAAAAAAAAATTAAAAAAAAAAAAAGAAGATAAATGTTTCTGAATTGGTTTATTTGTGGAAGCTAACATGGGGGCCCTAAATGTGTCCGTCTTTGCACCTGGGTTTATGTTTTAGCTACTCTTATCTGTCCTCATCCCAGTTGCTAGTGTAAGGGAGGGTGTTTGTGGAATGTAGGCCTTGAGGAAGGGACTGCTATGCTTCACCAATTAGCAAAGATATATGTAGTAACTTATGTTCTGCCCTGAAATAGGCTCTTTGTCTCAGGGCCAGGCTCAATTGTAACTCTTGTGTTCTTAACCCCTTAAGTCTTGGATCTGCAAGGCCCATAGGAAGAGCCTTTTGACAATTGCCCATAGAGCTTTCATCTAAAGTCTCTTTTGCAAAGGCAGGAATATGCTTTTCCTTATGAGGTATCTGTATTCAGAATATGGGTCTGATATGGAATTTTGTGAGGCCTTGTCAATTCTAGCAGGCTCATTTCCAGCATGAGCCAGTAGTAGCAGAAGGAGATACTAGTCTTCATTTCTCATGGCAGAAGCTGTGCAAACGTTGCCATTTCCTTCCTGTGACTGCCATCCAAAGAGGCCGGTGCGGCTCCCGGCAAGGTCGTTTCTTATCTCATTGTTTAGATTTAAGGCAGGGAGAGGACAAATTCATGACCCTATGTGATTCGTACCTTCTTAATTGCCAGGTATCACAAAAGAAGCATTCTCATTCTCTTCAAAAATGAAAGTAATAATAATGTCTACATCGCAATGTAAACAAACAGGAAGCCTTGCAAGGTTTGTTCTGATTAAATATGAGGTCTCTGTGGTGGCGTTTGTCCTCTCTTATTGCCAGGATGTGGGAGGGCAAGTCTGGCGATGGAACTCAAAAAATTGAATAGTGGTGATTTGAGGGCAGAGCCAGGAAATCACAATGGAAAGACAAACAAGAAATCTCCTGGAGTTTTGTTTTGAGGAGGGTGGAAGGAAATACTTTAGTGCAATGATTAAATTATTCTTTGTATCTATTTACCTTACTCATTAACTGTTGAGAGTTTACCTTCTACTATTTTTCAAAACAAAGACCTTGCTTCCATTTCATTAAAAATTGCTCAATCTTCTAAGCAAAGCTCACAGGTTATGTATGAAATTTGATCCCTTTCTTTTCATATTTTTAATAAAACTTCTTCAAAAATTTAGAGCAGTTAAGTAAACTTTTTAGAATAGAGGTTAATTTTACACCAAAAGAGTCTTTTGACATCATGATGCAACTTATTTTTAAGATAACAGATTTAATATAAACTTCTTACTCACCCTGCTAGGGCAAGGAAGGTCATTTAATTTCCCTCTATATTAAAGTTTATATTTTGATACTGATGAATAATTACATTATGCATATTGCTAGAGGAATTGGAATAGTTTGGTATATGTAGAAATCAAATGAGATAAAAAGGACCAAGGTCTTAACGAAGCAACTAATATTAACGCTATGGATATATTAATTGTATTTTTCAAGTCAGAGCTTTTCTAACTATAATAGGAAATCATTAAAGTCAGACACTTAACCGACTGAGCCACCCAGGTGCCCCTAAATGTTTATTTTTAAGAGAGAGAGAAAAAGAGTGCGAGTGGGGGAAGGGCACATTTTTAAGAGAGAGAGAAAAAGAGTGCGAGTGGGGGAAGGGCACATTTTTAAGAGAGAGAGAAAAAGAGTGCGAGTGGGGGAAGGGCAGAGAGAGAGAGAGGGGTACAGAATCTGAAGCAGGTTTCAGGCTCAGAGCTGTCAGCACAGAGCCTGATGTGGGGCTTGAACCCACGAACTGTAAGATCATGACCTAAGCCGAAGTTGGACGCTTCACCGGCTGAGCCACCCAGGTGCCCCTACAGTTTTTTTTAAACCTGATTTGGATGGGGGAGCCAAGGGTTGTATAATTGTCAGCAGTTTCCTTTGTGAATTCCACATAGTGAGGGATATCAGAATATGCCACTGCAAAATTATGCCTCTTTGGCACATGCATTATTTTGAGCTAACAGCCATGGATAATCAGCAGGTAATAGAAAAGCTTTAAAAATGGGGCACAGGCTTCCTTTTGTAAAGAAGACTTATATTTATAGAAGAAATTTCTATTTGTAAAAATGTCTCTCTCTCTCCCGCATACTAGGGATTGGAGGAACCTTAACAACTCTTACCAATGGGAAGACATCTGCATAACAAGCCTTACTAAACAGCCCTGGTTTGGGGCTCACCAAACACCAAAGACCTAACCATAGGACTGTAGAATATTTCCCCTCCCTGATTATCCTACCACCACACTAATAAAGACCCACTTCCAGCAGTTTCTTTTGTTCAGTGTATCGTGTCTCACTTCCAACAAAAAATTACATTGTATACTAAAAGGCAAAAAATAGAGACTGAAGAGAGAGAGCAGCTATTAGAACCAGATCTAGATATGGTGGGGATGCTGGAATGATCTGATTGTGAATTTCAGACAACTAAGATTAATATGTAGGGCTCTAATGGAGAAAGTAGATAGCATGCAAGAATAGGTGCACATGTAATTAGATGGAGATTCTAAGAAAGAATAAAAAAGAAACGCTAGAGCTAAAAGAAAAAAAATCAACTGTAACAGAAGATGTAACATATGCATAATGGGTCTCCCAGAGAAGAAGATAGAGGAACAGAAGAAATATTGGAAGCAGGGGCGCCCGGATGGCTCAGTTGATTAAGCATCCAACTCTTGATTTCAGCTCAGGTCATGATCTCATGGTTGGTGGGATTGAACCCCCAGTAGACCTCTGTGCTGGCAGCATGCAGTCTGCTTGGAATTCTCTCTCTCTCTCTCTCACCCTTCACCCACTCATATGCACTCTCTATCTCTCCCTCTCTCTCAAAATAAAAACAATGTTTTAAAAAACACATTTGTTAAAAAAAAAAGAAGAAATATTTGAAGCAATAATGACCGGAAAGTTCCCCAAATTAATGTCAGACACAAAACCACAGATTCAGGTAGTGCAGAGAACATCAGGCAAGATAAGTGTCAAGAGAACTAGGCCTAGGCATATCATCTTCAAACTGCAAAAAATTAAAGACAAAAAAAAAAAATTAAAAGAAGTCTGAGATAAAAACACCCCCACCTACACAGGAGCAAAGTAAGAACTATGTCCAATTTCTCCTCAGAAACAAGATAGAGGAGAGCAGAGTGCAATATTTAAAGTGTTCGAAGGAACAAACCACCAACCTAGAATTCTGTGTCCTGTGAAATTATCCTTCAAAAGCGTGGGAGAATCAAAGACTTGCTCAGAAAAATAAATATTGAAGAAATTTGTCAGTAGACCTGCCTTCCAAGAAATAGTACAAGAAGTTCTTTAAAGAGAAAGAAAATGATATCGGCCAGAACCTTGGATATGCATAGAAAAAGGAAAAGCAGTAGAGAAAGAATAAGGTAAGTAAAGACTTTAATTTTTCTTATTCTTTTTACGTTATGTATTTATTTTTAAATTTTGTTATGTTTTCAAGTTTATTTTATTTTTGAGAGACAGAGAGAAAGAGAGAGAAGGTGAACATGTGAGTGGGGGTGGGGGGAAGCAGAGAGAGAGGGAGACAGAAAATCCCTGTGGGGCTCAAATGCACAAACCATGAGATCATGACCTGAGCTGACATCAAGAGTCAGAAGCTTAACCAACTGAGCCTCTAAGATTTTATTTTATTAAAATTTTTTTTTGAAATTTATTATTTTGAGAGAGACAGAGAGAGACTGAGCACAAGCAGGGGAGGAGCAGAGAGAGGGAGACACAGAATCTGAAGCAGGCACCAGGCTCTGAGCGCTCAGCACAGAGCCCGACGCGGGGCTCGAACCCGCAAACCATGAGATCATAACCTGAACTGAAGTCAGATGCTTAACCAACTGAGCCACACAGGTGCCCCTCCTAAAGACTTAATTTTTAAGTAATCTCTACACCCAATATAGGGCTTGAACTCACAACCCCAATATCAGTAGTCTCTACAGACTGTGCCCCTTATTTTTCTTACTCTTAATAGATCAAACAAATGATTGTTCAAAATATAATAGCAACAATGTATTTGATTATATATACATATTTATGTATAAGTAAGATTGTTGAAAACTGACCTCCATGCTTCTTGCTTCAGAGCCAAAATACACCAGAGAACACAGAGTTTGCGACAATAAGCAACAATAGCTTTATTGCTTTGCCAGGCAAAGGAGGCTGCAGAGGATCTGGCCTTCAAACACTGCAAGCCCCCCTGGAGGAAGGGGCCAGAAGGTTTTATAGGAAAATACAGAATCTAATTGATTTTGACAGGAATTGTGTAGGTATTGCAAGCCTCATTAGTCATTTTCAAGGTGGTACCCAGTCTTTAAAACAAAAGGCTAAGGAGGGAAAAGGGGAGGTTTGCAGAAGAGAATAAAAAGGTTACTTAGTTAAAAATCAAGCCTCCCTGAAGCATTAATGCAGCCATTTAGATTTTTGTTCAACTGTATGCTTTTAAGCGGCTCAAAATGAGTAACTGAGGTAACACACAGGACAGGAGGGAGGAATTAGGAATGTTTTGTTATTATAAAGTACTTTTACTGTCTGTGAAGCGATATAGTGTTATTTGAAAGTAGAGTGGGATTAGTTTTAAGTGTCTAATACGGATTTTAGTTTAAAGAAGTATAATAGGCTGAGGAAAGAGAGAAAGGAATCCTATAAAACGTTCAGTTAAAACCACTGGTAGCAGAAAAAAAAAAAGGGATACAACATAGGAACAAAGAACAGGTGCAATGAGTAGAAACTATCAAACAGTACAGTAGATATTAATCCAGTTATATAAAAATCACTTTAGACGTCAATAGTTTAAGTACACCAATTAAAAGCCAAGATTGTCAGAGTGACCAAAAAACAAAAAAAGTGATCCAATTATATGTTGTCTACATGAAATCCACTTTAAATATAAAGACATATATCAATGAATAGTGAAAGCATATAGAAATAAATACCGTGCTAATACTAAGTAAATGAGTGTGGGAGTAGCTATATTAATTCCAGACAAAGCAGACTCTAGAGCAAGGAAAATTACCAGGGGTAAAGACAAGTATTCTATAATGATAAGGGGTCAGTTTTAAAAAAGATTTTTAAATTGTTAAGTAATCTTTTTTTATATAAAAAATTTTTCAAAATATTTATTTATTTTGGGGAGACAAAGTGCAAGCAGGGGAAGGGCAGAGAGAGGGAGACACAGAATCCGAAGCAGGCTTCAGGCTCCAAGCCGTCAGTACTGAGCCTGAAGCGGGGCTCCAACCCAGGAAGCACAGGATCATGACCTGAGCCGAAGTCGGATGCTTAACTGACTGAGCCACCTGGGCGCTCCTTTAAGTAATCTATACACCCAACCTGAGGCTCAAACGCACAACCCTCAGATCAAGAATCACATGCTCCACTGACTGGGCCAGCTAGGTGCCCCGATAAAGGGGTCAATTATCCAGGAAGATGTAACAATCCTTAATGAATATGCATCTAACAAAAAGCATCAAAATACACAAGGCAAAAACTGATAAAACTTGAAGGAGATGTGGATACATCTACTATTATGCTTGGAGATGTTACCACCCATCTATCAGAAACAGACCCAGGAGGCAGAAAATCAGCAAGGCCGTGGCTGAACTCAAAAGCACCATCGATCAACTATAACTGACATCTATAGACTCCTTCAGCCAACAGCAGCTGAGTGCACATTCTTCTGAAATTAACATGGAATGTGCACCAAAAAGAACCACATTCTGGGCATAAGACACACCTTAACACATTTAGAAGAAAACGCTACACACTTTGTGGTTTCAACCATATGACATCCGGAAATGGCAAGACTGTGAAGATAGGGAAAAGATCAGCGGTTGCTGGGGTCACAGTGGGGAAAGGGGGGTTGGGGGGCCGGGGGGAATGGATAGGCAGAGCAGGGAAGACTTCTAGGGAAGTAAAGTATCCTGTATGACACTCCAGTGCGGGATATATATCATTTTACGTTTGTCAAAAATGCATAGAATGTACAACATCCAGAATGACATGAATTTTGTGTGAAAATGATGGGTTGATGTTGGCCCATCCATTGTAACAAAGGTTCCATCCTGGGGCAGGATGTTGATTGTGGGGGAAGGTGGGTGTGTAGGTATTCTCTGTACCTTCCATACATTCTGCTGGGTTTTTTTTGTGTGTGTGTTTTTTGTTTTGTTTTGTTTTGTTTTGTTTTGTTTGCTGTGAACCTAAAATAGCTCTAAAAACCAAAGTCTACTTAAAAGGACGAACAGTGTTGGCAAAATAGAGCTCACGGGCTGTTAACTGTTAGGCTCTCTATTTCAGCAGAACCAAACACCCCAAACTGAAGGATTTAAAACGACTATAGCTCATGATTCTGTGGGTTGGCTGGGGCTCAGTTTCCTGTTTCTTCTTCTGGGAGCTCAGTTGGGGTGGAAATGTCCAAGATACTTCCAGCCTCTCTCTCCATGGCTCTGTGTCAGGGAGGGTAGCTGGACTCCTCACATGGGTAAGAGCACTGAGGGGCGCCTGGGTGGCTGAGTCGGTTAAGTATCCGACCTCAGCCCAGGTCATGATCTCACAGTTTGTAGGTTCGAGACCGGAGTCGGGCTCTGTGCTAACTGCGTCTCTAAAAAATGAATAAATGTTAAATTAAAAAAAGAAAAAGAGAGAGCACTGACAGCAGATGAAGTGTCTTTGAGAGTCGCCTATGAGTTTACACTTCTGCCTGATTCTATCCGGCAAAATTACAGGTCTGAGTCAGTTTAACAGGGCAGGGAAATGGGTCCCTCCTTTCTATAGAAGGAAATGACAAAGAATTTGTGGGCATTTTTAAATTGCCACACTGTATTTTATTCATCCGGTGACAGCTTTTCAATAAGAACCACTCTCTGTATACTTCCTCTCCCTTCAAAACCCAGCTGTAGTCCATACCGAAAACCACTCAGCAAATTAGAGACGTTTTCTGTGCACCTGTGTTATTTGGCAGCCCCTAACATTTTCTATCTTGATTGTGAAATATCAATCAGATGGCAGCTCATAACATTTTGTCTTAATTGTGAAAAAGGAAAAAGAAAACACCAGTAACTGCAGAGACCAAGTGAAATGATTAAGAGTGTCATTTCTTTTGGTGACATCAGTGTTTTTGCCATGGTTCTCAGGTGGCACAGGTGTGGTGAGGATGAGAGAACACAGGATAGGAGTTCTCACCGAAGCTGAGGAATGGCTACTGTTATGGGTGACCGCATCCTGCCTTACAAGGAGAAGCTTTCTGAAAGGACGTGGAAATTTATCTCCTGAATCT